CAGTATACTCATACACATACTGACTTAAGCATCGGAGGCTCTTCACCGGACACAACCCCCAGTGTGAAAGTTATTTGCAGGTTTCCGGCGTTCTACCGGCGAGGACCAAGATCTATCCGTTCAAACCGGACCAGGACGCTTACGCTTGCATTAGTGGTGATATAAGAACATAGATTGCACAACCAAATATTCGCAGATGGGAAATGTTAGGTTCTTTACCACGCACTATTTGTACAGGGGAGTAATCATGATATGCAGTAGGTCGGATTTAAATTAGGGCAGCAGCATGTAAAATTGTATGTCCGCAACATGAAATTGGTAAGTTGGAATTTTGTAGCAATGGTCTAGAAATTAATTTGATGTGCTTAATTAGTTATTTGGCTAGACCATTTTGTGTTTGAACATAAGGTACCGGATGCTCTACTTTGATGCCTAATGACATATAATAATCATCAAAAGCTTTTGATGTAAATTCGCCGGCATTATCCATTCTAATAGTTTTAATTGGATAATCAGGAAATTGAGCTCTTAATTCAATAATTTTAGCAAGTAGTTTTGGAAAAACCTGATTTCTAGTGGATAATAAACACATATATGACCATCGAGTGGAAGCATCTATCAATACCATAAAATATCGAAAATGTCTAGAGGTGGGATGAATTGGTTCACATATATCACCATGAATCCTATGAAGAAACATATGAGATTCAATCCTAACTTTAGTACGTGAAGGTCTTAATATCAATTTTCCCTTTGCACAAGCATCACAAATAAATTCATTAAAAGAAGGAAAATTGTTGCTTGATATGTTATGCCCAATAGAGTTATAAATAATCCGACGCATCATACTAAGCCCCGGATGACCTAATCGCTCATGCCATAATGTAAATGAATTTGGGTCTTTAAATTTTAAGCTCATTGTAACATGATTAACAGAAGGTTGAATGTAAGTATAATACAAGTTTGAGGAGAAAGAGGGAAGTTCTTCTACAATTTTGTTTTGACTTTCTTGTGAATGAGTCATAAGAAGGTATTCTCTATTATTTTCAGTCTTAGTTTCAAGATGAAAACCATTTGATCGAATATCTTTACAACTAAGGAGTGTTCTTTGTGATTCAGGGTACAAAAGTGCATCGTAAATTATTAATTCAGTACCCTTAGGAAGAGTAAGTATAGCTATGTCGGAGCCTACTATCAATATTTTATCATGAGTAATTGTAGTAACAGTACTCCCTTTCTTTTCATTTATGGTTTAGAAAAATTTCCTATCTTTCAAAATAGTTTGTGTAGTAGCACTATCGACCAGGCATAAAATACTTTCTTTCTCCTTGACTTGCATTTTATTGAATGTTTATGGCACACTAAAAGAAAAGTAAAATATTATAAGCAAATGTAGTAATGATAAATTCTCAATAAAACATAACAAATGAAAACATGTTTATAACAAGAACAAACCATAATTTTCTATTAGCATAAAAACAAATGTGAAATAAAAATATCCATTACTAAGACATAATGCATATGAAATAACACATTATCACCATAGTCCTCGAGCTCAAGCTTTAATAAATCATTATCATCATTTATTGCTAAATTTGCTTCAGGCAAACTAGCATGATGTGATTCACCTTGAGGAGCCTTTCCTTTTTTATATTTGAGTGTTCTTTGATAGGCCTCGATTAGATGCCTAGGAGTACGACATGTATGGGACCAGTGACCACTGCATCCACATCTATAGCAAACTTGCTTATCTTGATTAGATTGTGGAGCATTGATGTTATGATTTTCTCTTCGGCCTGTATGTTCCTCAACATCATTACCTCGGCCTACACCTCGAGTCCAAACATGATTACGACCTCGACCACGTCCACGACCATGACCACGACCATGACCACGACCACCACGAGGTGGTTGGGAATGATATCCTCGATCTCTTCCTCGCACAATATTATTATGCTCTTGGGTAGCCGCATGTGCTTCAGGCACTGCTTGAGTTCCAACTGGCCTAGTATTATGATTTTTCATTAACAACTCATTGTGTATTTCGGCCACTAGTAAAGCGGAAAATAGCTCAGAATGTGTTGCATAGTTTTTAGCCCTTTACTGTTGCTGGAGTACAAGGTTATTAGCATGAAAAGTAGATAAAGTTTTTTCAAGCAACTCAAACTCAGTAATGTTCTGCTTACAGAGTTTGAGCTGTGAGACAATACGATGGAGGGTCGAATTATAATCAGTAACAGATTTAAAATCCTGAAAACGTAGATTAAGCCAGTCATATTGTGCTTGAGGGAGGATTATGGCCATTTGTTGGTCAAAGTGATCCTTCAGGGATCTCTAAGATTTGCGGGCTCTTTTTTTGTGAGATATTCATTTTTTTCAAATCCTTATTTAGATGGTGACGAAGAAAAATCAGTGCCTTCGCCTTCTGGGCGGAGTGCTATTAGATGTAGAATCTATTGTGGCACTTAAGTCAAAGGAGGTCAGATGAATCTCAACATCAAGGGCCCAAGTTAAATAATTACTCCCATCAAGAGCGAGCTCAGCAAATTCTCTTTTGGTGATATCAGACATTGTGAAATCTAGAATTCAAGATATGCGAAAAATATGTGATTATTTATGATTGAGAGAAAAAGTACCTTGAGGAATAATTCTGATAAAATAACGATTTGTAATATTATGATTTCTGATACAGAAGATCGTCTATAAGACGCGACTGTAGAGCATACTCTCTTCGTATTACAAATCAAGCTCTAGAAGAAATAGACTCGTATTGATAACGTGTTATAAAACAAGAGATAAAGAGGAAATAGAGAATGTTATAAAACTAGAGAGAATAAAGAAAATGTATTCACTTGATTGATTTTTCATTATAACTGAAGCTCTTATTTATAGGAAAACTTTTGATGACACAATCGTAATAATACAATTGCATCAGGAACAAAATAATCATTCACATTCATTATTTTAATAAAATTATTGGTGTTGGTTGAACCACCAACTACCTTCATAATTATAACAATTTTGTCAAAATATATATTAAAGACAAAATGATAATTACCGCGTGGCCTTTACATTTTATGGAATGCCCATAACTAGGGATGGCTAAAATTCATTGACCCATGCGGATTAGACGGTATGTATAAGCTTTTACTAATGTTTTTAGGATAAAATTTGAAGGTTTATTATAGTCAAGAGTGATGAGTGATCAGTTCTTTCGCTGCCATATCTATTTATCCAACCCCACTGAAATATTTGACTTTTGGATTAACTTTATATTAGTCCAGAAACGATCCTTGCTTCATGATTATTCATTTAAACCAAAAAAAAAAAA